GAAGCTCAATCTTTTTCATCCGTTTATCTGAGTGAAATGTGTAGTTTAAAATACAGGTAAAAATGCTAGCGAAAATTCAGACAATCGGAGTAATTTATTTGTGTATTCTACACAGTTTGCGTCATGGTTACAAAATGACAACATCCTTTTGTCATAAGGTCGTTTCACAACTTTTAGCAACAAAACGTCCTGCCTTTTAGCGACTTTACCTAAAAATGTATTTGCAACACGGCTTGCGTCGCTAGAGGAAGCGGCCTCGCGCTAGTGCCTGCTGGAGGCCCGGCTGCATACAACGCTGCGGTGAAAGGTTGAGCCGAAGCGGGAAGCAAGTGAGGCTTTGCTGCGGTGAGATCTGGGGCGCGGCCCAGGCTCGTTGGTGGCCTGCCGCTGCGAACCCAGCGCTTAAGGAGAGCCGGGTCTTGTGCGGGGCGATGGTGGTGTCGAGCGAGGAGAGTTCGGGGCCTTGCGAACTTTGCTCGAAATATTGGCTGCTCTGCTGGAGTAGATTTGGGAGTGAAGTTGTCTGATTGCTGGGAGACGAATAACTTGGATAGTACAGATCCGCTTTGCGATCTGATCATTTTTTCCCTTCGCGAGGACAGTGCATCGGAATTAATCAACGTTTGCCTCAGGCTTAAATGCGGTCCACTTTCCGATTGGAGGAATTGTAGGCTCAGCCGAAATATAAGAAGATGTCAGGGGAAAAAATGGAAGTGACGCCGATAGAGGCGAGGTTAAGCCTCGGCGTCGTGGACAGCGTGTGGCTGGTCGAGCAGGGAGCAGCGGCCGCGATGAAGCCTGGAGCTCGGCGGCGGTGTCTGGCGGAGAACGAGCGATGGATAGAGGTAAGTCAGCTGTATTTATATCATGGTGTTGATTAACTTGAGTGCGCTCCACCTGTGTCAATTAGGCTAAGTATCTGACGCGCTCCTCCCAAACCTTGTTAATAAAACATCATAAAGATCAGCTATAGAAAACTTAGAGAAGAGACACATCATTCTTTGGTTTTAAGCATTAAATGTTAAAACGGCTTGCCATAATGCCTGTTTGTGTACATCGAGTGGGCAAGGGACACCATTAAGGAGAAGAATACAAGTCTGCCCCACCCTCACTAATTCTTACTTTTATCATCATAGATCATAGATTCATAAATTTGTGAAACTGCATAAGTTTTGAAAACTAGGGAAGACTTATGCCCAGCACATTCTGACAGTCACTGCTCACAGTTTTCTTTTGTGAAATGAATTAAACTGACATACTGGTTTATGAGGGCTAATGGGTAGCCACAAGATCAGGGTTGTGTAAATAATGAATGTACTTCATTTTTGGGGTCGAATAGTGAACTATACAGTCCCATATGTTCTGTTGTTGCATTTCTTTAAGTAAACTGCACTACTTAGTGTGTCGCTGGGCCTATTTTAGTAGGGCTTTGTTTCTTTAACTGTTTATAATAGTTAAATTACAATCATTTGTTAACGGGGACATAATTGTAGCTAAAATGTTTGATTAAGGTTACCTGCTTCTGTGGCTTGAGATTGTTGGCTAACAGTAAACAGACAGGAAAATGCTCTGACAGGATGAATTAATGCAGATAAGCTTCATTAATCTGTTGTAAGTTAGAACAGAAAGAGTGAGTGTTCACTACTTCAGACTGTGGTGATAATCAAAGCTTTGTTAATTAATACATTTTTATGTGAGGCTGCCTGTAAGTTACAGTGTAATAGATGTTGCATGCTAGCTAACGGTAATGTTAACAATGTCTTATAAATTCAACTCAAGTTATGAGATGATGATATCTAATTAATAGACAGCGTAATATCATGCACATATCTTTTTCTTTGTAAAATGATTTAAAACACAGAAGAAAAAGAAAAAGGAAGAATCTATAGTGACGTCTATGGTTTCTATAAATATCTTCCTGTAATGACATTACATTGGGGGTGTAGTGCAATGTCACAACATGAAGCATGTTAGATGTTAGAAGGCTGTTGCAACAAAGAGGAGAAATTTAGGGACGTCTACTTCTTATAAGTTTAACTACTTTTCTGAGGTAAGAAATTTCAGTAACACTTTATAATAACTTTCATTAATAAATCATTAACAAACATTATATAATGTTTAACTAGTCATTACTTAATATATATTCACATATGAGATAATGTGCTTTTTAATGTTAACTAATGAACTTGTTAAACATTACCAAATGATTAACAGATCATTATTTAATGTCAATTGAAATGCTTACAAATGTCATTAAACATTCAATTCATATGATCATGCCTTTTTTTGTTTTTCTTTGAAATCTTCAAATGATTTTGACATATGGTTTACAATGATTAAAAGCTTCATTAATAAATCGTTAACAAACATTATATAATGCTTAACTGATCATTAGTTAATGGTTACAAATGTCATTAAACTTTCAATGCGTTTTAAAAATCTACAAATTATTTTAACAGAAATGATACAATATTTACAAGCTTATTTGTTGATGTACTGTTGAATGCTTACAAATGTCATTAAACTTCAATTCACATATTGGCTAATGCTCATTTTTTACATTTACATATGTTGTGAAGATATAGCTTAATTACTAATTTTAAGCACTTCACACACTGTTCGTGTTAATATATTCATTAACTCATAATCACAGTCTGTAGTTGTTGTTGTGTAGACTTCTACTATTTGAACATCTTAAATCATTTATTCATTATTTGTTAATGTTTTTGCAGTACCCAATCTAAAGTTGAGACTATTCATCATTTGTAAATGTTTATAAACATTGACTAATTTTTTTGTATCTTTATTGGCACTGGACTTTTAGCTACTTTAACAACATTTGTGTAAAGGGTGGTTAGTTAAGTTTAGCTAAATGCTTGGTAAAGACATAGCACACATTGTAATTTGGGTGCAAAACATTTTTAATCACCTCAACACTTATATTAGTATACTATTGTGTATCATTAAATGTAAAGTTCAGTGTCATCCCCTCTGCAAACCCCGATGGCAGGAAACCAGATCACTTGCTTTATTTTCATCAGCTCTGTTTTGGGACATGCTCACTCAGGTTGGTCGATCTTTGTCGTCATTATGAATAAGGATGTGTATGATTATAATGTGTACTACAGGAATTAAAAACCAAATGCTAATTTCTTCATGTCTCTAGTGTGACTAATGCGTTTTATGTTCCAGCTGATGATACCTACTTTGTGATGCCTCAGACAGTAACAGCTCTGACAGGCTCTTGTTTGCAGATTCCTTGCACATTCAACATCTCCAATTTTGAGGACAAACATAAGAGGGCAAAATCTATTTATGGGATCTGGATGAAAAACAAATCACAGTATGCTAGCAAAGACAGTTTTATAGCTTTTAATAGCAGTGAAAACATCATTAGAGGATTCAGTGACATAAAGATGACTGGAGATCTCAATGAGAGGAACTGCACCACTGTCTTCTATAACATCATGATGAATCATTCAGACCGCTATTACTTCAGACTGGAGTCAAATGTGCTCAGAGCAACATTTAACCCCAATATAGCTGATTCAAGCAACACTGTGAGGATCAATGTCACAGGTAAATGTCATCTCAACTGAACAGACCATCTACACACCAAAGTGCAAAGACGAATTTGTCCGTCTTTAAAATGAAATGAAAATATTAGTATTATCATCAGTTTTATACTATACATTTTGACATTTTGAAAATACTGTAACATTATAAAACTATATCTTCAGTGTTGAGAGGTTGCATTTCTTATGCATGTACAAAATATTAAAAAATATTGGTAACAGTGATTTTACCTTGTGAAACAGTCAATCTACAAGTGCAAATGTGCTAAACCTCACCCCAAGTGTGAAACCCTGACCTTCTAACGTGCATTGTGTGTTTTCCTTGATGTCTGTCATCAATTACCTTGTAGACTCACCACAACCTCTTGAACTTGAACCTAGTAAGCTACAGTATGTGATGGAGGAAACTACAGTAAATCTAAGCTGCTCTTCTGAAGCCCCCTGTCCCAAACAACCTCCTACAATATCCTGGTCTAACATCCCTGAATCTGCCCGCATTACAACACAGTTACAGGAGAAACCTGATAAAACCCAGTCAGTGTTTTCATACATGACCTTCAAAGCTTCATACAAAGATCACAAGAAGAACATTTTCTGCACTGCTACATATCCAAGAAATACGCCTAATGACTCAACTGTGGAAGGTACCTTCATGCTACAAGTCCTGTGTAAGATATTTGGAGTACTTTTGTGTTTCTCATCATCCTTGATGTGATAAAATGAATAGGTATCAAAACTATCAATTGTTAACCCCGTATGTGCATGTGTTTTTCTTAAAGTTCCTCCAAAAGAAACTCACATCATCATTACTCCATCTGTTGGCACTAATGTGACTTTGACCTGCAAAAGCAAAGCCAGTCCATCAAATTACTTGAACTACACCTGGTACAAACGTGGACAGGAGACGCCTATAGCTTGGGGAAAGAAGATTCATTTAACCAGAACTCATAATCAAACAGCATCATACTTCTGCATTGCACAAAATAAACATGGAAAACAGTCATCAGAAGATGTCCAGCTCACAGATGAAAGTAAATAAAGCACTGTGTTTTGTATTTTTATGTTCAGATATATTATGGATTCGTGAATACTGTTTGAAATACACTCTTCAGTAATCCTTTTGTATTTTAGGACAGAGTGGATTCTCTCATCTGGTGATATATGGCTGTACAGGAGGACTTTTGGCTTTTGTTCTGTTGTCTGCGGGTTTTTTTTACTGTATGAGGTAAATATATAATAACAGAAATGTAGTTCATGTGTGCAATGTTGTATTTATTAATTGCATGTGTGTATAATTTATGAATGTATTTGTTTTATATTTACTTTTTTAATTGTATATTTATTTATTTTTTGCAACAGAACAAAGGCTTCAAGACAGGCCCATGTCACAGGAAAAGATCAGGTACATAGTTCAATAAACAAGATGTTAACATTGAGTAACTTAACTTTTAAATGCCAGCTGTTTTGTCCACAACAACAAAATGTATTCCAAACAGAGCCACGGCAGAATTAACCGTTGCATGGCTGTGTCTCGAACCGTAGCTGTTTAATTCCGGAATGAATCAGTGCTTTTGAACCAATCAGTTGAGTGAATGATTCAGTGACTTAATCATTAAAAAAATAAAAAATAAATGGTTCCTGAATGAATCTGTGTATATGAACAAATCGGCTGAATAAAGACAGTAAGAGTCACACTGAACGTTGTTGTAAATTGTAAAAAAGTGAATTGTTTTATGCTAATTTTCTAAAGACTAATTCACTTCACTTACAGTAGGATCTCCTCAAACAATGCTTCTTTTACAGCAGAAGGAAAGCGATTAAAAAAATCAATCATTTAAAAAAATTCTCACCTATTTTCCTCAGGCTGAGGATAAAAACAGAGACATGATGGCTATCTATGTTAACAATGATATTGTGATCAGCAAGAATGGTGAGAAGAAAGAAACTGATGATCTCCACTATGGTGAAATTGACTTCTCCAAACTCCAGCTAGGCCACAAGACAAGGGAACACCCAAGCAATGGCCCAGTGACAGAGTATGCTGAGGTTCAAGTGACGGAGAGAAAGAGACAAATCAACAGTGTTCAGCAAATGGACAAACTTTATGCTGAGGTCCAGAAAAAGTGATTTTTTTCCTATGTTAAATCTTGCTATTGTGCAGAGACCTGTGACACTTGTCAGCCAAGGACAGTCATCAAATTTTCACAAATCCCTTAATAACATCTCTGACGAATGGTGCAACACTGTCTAAATAATGAAATAATACTCTAGACTCCAGCAGCTACAAGGAATATAATTTGAATAATATTAAATGCTCTTATAGTGCTCTTAATTATATTAATAATCTATATGCTGGTTACTTGTATGGTATAAGATATAAATATTCATATAAATAAAATATTAAAGGGGTTCTATTATGTTTAAAAAAAAAATTAAAAATAAAATCAAATAAAATGAGGAAACGAGGTCTGGTTGAGTTGTGTCAATAGTGTGTTGTCACCAAATCCAAGAGACGCTGTTTAACAGATCTAATATACTAATATATTGTGCTCAAAGACATAGCCAACTGTTTTTATGTGAATTTAAGGAATTTTATCACCTCATTTAAATCATATAGCTAGTTTTACACAATAACAGAAAACTGACACATAAATTAATTCCAATTGTATGTAGTCAAAGTTTTAATTTTTAACTACTTCGAGCTTCAAAACAAGCTAATCAGTAATAAAAAACAACAAATAAACACATTACACGCAATAAACAAAGAGTGTCTTCAGGATAAAGAGCAGTGTTTTTTTCTCTTAGCATTATTACTCTTGATTATGTATTTATACCATCATAGACAGCAGCAGACTTAATAGGCTGCACTCATTCTAATGCACAGATCTATTTTGAGTGTTTTGTGCCAACAGGCAATTCTGTTTATTGTCAAAGAGTGTTTTTCTAGCGGAAGGATGTCTTTTTATGATTTTTGTTTCAATAAAGTAAACATACTAATACATATTTCTATCTTTAATATTTGTATTGTGTGTTAACGGTTTTATAATTGTATCTTGGGGTGGTCTCTTGCATGTATAACTCAGGAAATCTCTTCACAGATTCAGACCTAATTTGTATGTCAAATCTGTGCTGCAGGTCTCTTCCTCGCCACTAACAATTAATGAGTGACTGTGAAATACCACAACACTCACATTTAAATTCAAATTCACTATTATTTGATTGTATCTCAGGACAGGGTTGGACCCATGATTGTTGGCTGTGTGGCAGGAGCTGCTAACTGTGCTTCAGTTTTTTGCGTTTCTTTTAGTATGAGGTAAATTTAGCCTTTCTTCAGTTGCATCATAGCTAACATCTGGGGGTTTTGCAGCACATTAACTACAGAAAAAAACAAGCAGAAGTGGCTTTGCGGTGAGTGTGATAGATTTTGCCATAGTTAGTAAAGACCTATACATAGATATATACATAGATATAGATATACAGTTGCAATCAAAATTATTCAACCCCTCAGAGACTGCAGTACTTTACAAATACAACTTTTTCTGAAGATCCAGGATTTTATAAAAAATTGCATCTATAACAGTTTACTGGCATATTAAAAGTGATAATGTCAATATATAATGTAATATTTTTGAGTTATAGGATTTTTTTAATAACAATTCAATTCAAGTTTATTTGTATAGCGCTTTTCACGATACAAATCGCTGCAAAGCAACTTTACAGCAAATTAAGTTTCAACAAAATTTAGTGGTAGCTTATCAGTGGTGACTGTCAGTTAATGTACATATGGCAGAAATGTACGGAAAAATCAATTAAAGACACAATCAAACAGACGATGAACACTATTAACAGCAATTATTATATGATGCAATCAGACTTATAGCAGAATGTCCTAAAAAATAACACAGCTATGTCATAATTATTCAACCCCAATTCAACATTGCTGTATGTCACTTTTTTTTTTGTATGGTGGGGAACAAAATTGTCTTAAAGGGGTCATATGATGCGATTTCAATTTTTCCTTTCTCTTTGGAGTGTTACAAGCTCTTGGTGCATAAAGAAGATCTGTAAAGTTGCAAACACTAAAGTCTCAAAACCAAAGAGATATTCTTTATAAAAGTTAAGAGTTAACCACGCCTACCTAAAACGGCTCGTTCTAACACGCCCCCACATACCTACGTCACGATCTGGGAAGATTTGCATAACACCGACGTGTTTCAAAAAGGCGGGGCATAGAGGAGAAACAATAATGTACAGCATGTGGAAAACAATGTGTTTTTTTAACTTTAAACCGCATAAACACATTTCATTACACCAAATACACAAAATAATGTTCTTTTTAGCGGCATCATATGACCCCTTTAAAACAATTTAAACGATTAAAAAACAGAATTAGCTTGAGCTGTTACACATACATAAACTTAGCCCACGCGTGTGCTGACGTGAGTAGCAAATATGCAAATTCAACAGAGCTCTCTCAAAAGCTATAGAAGAAATAGTTTATTACATTAAAAAGTCTAAGGCCACATGAAGATCTCCAAGACATTAAAAGTTCCTAGAGACACAGCTCTCAGCCTTCTTCCTTAGCTGTGTTTTGAGGGTGTTGAAGAAAAAGCACAATATCATAATAAATTTGATCAGAGCAACTGAGAAAAACCTGCAATGCATAGCCAAAGACTTGCAAGATGACCTGATGAAAGGAGGAAAAACATTTCAATGCAGAGTAAAAGAAGAATACTAGACAAGTATGGCCTTCATGTTGGGGCATCTTGCCGGATGCCACTCTTGACCAAGAAAAACATAAAAGGCCGACTTGAACATGCTAAAATTAATTTGGGTAGACCTGTGGAGTTTTGGGAGAAAGTTTTATGGAGTGATGTGACCAAACTGGAACGTATTGGACCCATGGATCAGCAGTATGTCTAGTGCAAAAACGGCAAATCTTATAAGCAGAAGAATACAAGAATCTCCATGTTTGACCATGGAGATGGACCGGTCCTGTTGCAGGGGTGTTTCGCTGATGCAGGAGGTGGAAATCTTGACTGAAGTATCAGGCCATTTTGGCAAGAATTGTGATGTCTTTGGTGCAAAGATGGAAGCTGACGATCAATGGACTTTCCTGCAGGACAGCCATCCCAGAGTGCACATCCAAATGTGCTTATGCTTGGTTCAGGGATCAGTCATAGGATGTACTTGAGTGGCCTGTTCAGTCTCCAGATTTAACTCTCATTGAAAATATTTTTTTGAATTTGAAGAAAGCAGTGGCAATGTGAAAACTAAAGATTATCAGTGATCTAAAAGCTTTTTCCGAGGAATGAGCCAAGACTGCAGTAGACAGTCTCAGAAGCTTCTAAGCACTTTTAGGCATGGTTTGTTGGTGGTTTTAAAGAACAAAAGATTCTGCACAAAATTTGACATTTGGGGGTTGAATAATTTTGAACATGAATGTTTAGAGCCAATTAGATTTTTATCATGATTCATCAATGTTACATTCTCAGAATCACTTAAATGTGTATTAAGAAACTTTCTCTAATAGTTCACTGATGCCTTTTTTTTAATTGTTTTCATAAAATGTTGCTCTCTGCAGCAAAATGTCTTGCAGGTCAAGGGGTTGAATAATTTTGATTGCAGTTGTATATACACTGCTGTGCAAAAGTCTCTGGCCACTAGTATTTTCACCAACAACAAAAAAAAGGGTTTTAAGCCAGCTATCTATCATTTGCTGTAGTGTGTCATTAGGAGATATCAGTTTTTAAAACCAAACATACCTTTTGCCATTAATTGTAATAATCCAGTGAGATTTTTGTATGCACAAGGAGAATGACAGCAGCCAGTGGAACACACAGAGATCTGATCTCACCATCATCCAGTCTGTCTGAAATGACATGAAGAATCAGAAGAAAATAAGACAGACAAAATCCAGAAGAACTGTGGCAACGTCTCCAAGACACTTCAAGAAACAAAACTACAGTAATGTGAAAAGTTTTAGTCACTTGTGCAAAAATTATGTAAAGTGAGGATGCTTTAAAAAATAATGTCATAAATAGATTTTATTTATCAATTAATTTCTATTAACTAGATAAAATCAACATTTGGTATGGCCACCCATTACATTTAAAACAGCTTTTGTTCTAGGAACACTTGCGCATAGTTTTTTAGGTAGATCTGCTGCAAGAGTGGGGTCCGCTATTGCTGAGGAATGGGAAACGAGAACCTAGATGACTGGGTACACATTTTTGAATGCGTAGAAGATTAGATTATAGAAAAATTGGAATGATTTACTGGAACGTTAAATTTGCATAGAGGGCCTAGCTCTGGGGTGGGTCTTCATATGGATTTCACTTGCTGATTTACTATGGTCTGAAATAAAGATCTCAAATTATTATTAATCATTTTTATATTCTTTTCCTTAAATCATTTATAACACAAAGCAATTGTGACATCAGCATAGAAATATTCATATAGTTGTTTAATAATATCATTAACCCTATAAATCCTACTGAGTCCTAATTGATACACAAATTTCTAAGGCCTCTAAATTAATAAACACACTTAATAAACAAACATTACTGAAAAAATCTGTTACTGCATTCATTCTATTGTCTAATTGAGTTTCAAGTTTTGATCCAATCCGATATCCAAAATTTGATCAGCTTACTTTTGAACAACTGGGCCCTGATGTATCAAATATGTATACTCCACAAAAAAACACATACGCAAACTTTAAAGTCAGTTCATTGATGATTCAGTGTTGTCATCATCCAGTTCAGCTCTCTTCCAATAGCTTCTCTTCCTTTGATTATTATTGATGTCATAGACAGCAGATCTAATATGCTACACTAATGCACAGTCATTTTTTTGTCATCTGTCTATAATCAAACATAACTGACTGTTGTTTACATTAATTTCACATCATAAAAAGTTTGAGTACTGTTGTAGGATTTTTTTTTAATAGATTTTAAACAATAAGTGAAAAAATTTCACAGTTTTTGCACTGTTTATTTGTTTATGTATTGCACTAGTTATTTATACATTTTATTGCACTGATTTTAAGAATTACATGTACTTTTTTTGGACTGTTTTGCACCTGGAACTTCAGGTTTTTTCCAGTGGCATGCTGGAGCTGCATTCTTTGTCCTTTGCTAGGCCCAATAATAATAATAATAATAATAATAATAATAATAATAATAGTGTTGGGCCCAAAAAGAGACCTTTTTTTTTTTAAATTTTGCACCATAGATAAATTAGGTTTACATTTTTATGCCGGAAAGTAAAT